ACTTCTCGATCCTCCACCACCTCCTTTGTCTTTCCTTCTTTCCCCGTCCCCGCTACAACATTTGGTGCTCATTATTGGAAGAAGTTGCCTTGTGGGGTTATCCGGTCCTCTAATTTTTTTGGTTTTTGGTTTTGTTTAGCCATTGCAGAAGAAACCAAGAACGAAGCAGAACACAAGAAACCAGAAAACCAAGAAACCAAAAAACCAAAAATCCAAAAAAACAAGATTGCACACCACAAGGGGGGTAGTAGTGGCAGAGAGTTGGGTCTTGTCATTTTGTTTTTCTTGTTTTTTTTTGTTTTTTGTTTTTTTGGTTTTTGGTTTTGTTTAGCCATTGTAGAAAAACCAAACAGAAATTTTCAGTGGTTGCAAAGCAGTGAGAGAACCATGGCACATGTGCAGTGTCAGTGGTTGCAGAATGCAATGAAAAACCGCACTCCCAGGGTGTCCCCTTCTGTACAATGTATATACATACCTCGCACAACTGGGCGGTATTGGAAATAATCATGCAGACTATGCAGACAGCGCAATGAAGATAACACCTCACAGGTTTGCGAATGGCGCCCAGGGACCCATGGAATGATGTCTTGCAATGATGTCACGTGATTGATCCAAAGTCCTGGAAATGGTTTAGAGATGTTAAGGGAAAACCATTGGTTCCTGCAACTAGTCCCTGCAATGAATGAATGAATGAATGAATGAATATATATATATACACACACATAATCTGCCGACCCCGGCCAACAGCAGGGGGGGCGCGTCAAAGAAGAAGGATGCGACACAAGTGGTAACGTCCACGAGGCCAGAATTTGTGACTTTCACGGGTCCACTGTTTGGATGTAGCCAAAGAGTCCACAGAGGAGCTTTTACACACAGGCGCGTTTACACACAGATGCTGTTACACACAGACTGTCACACAGATGCTGTTACACAAAGAAGTCTTTACACAGAGGAGCTTTTACACACAAGGACGTTTACCCACAGAAGCTGTTACACACAGACGCTGTTACACAAAGAAGTCTTTACACAGAGAGCTTTAACACACAGGCGCGTTTACAGACAGAAACTTTTACGCAAAGAAGTCTTTACACAGAGAAGCTTTTACACCCAGCAGGTTTTCACACAGAAGCTTTTACACAGGGAGGACTTTACACAGAGAAGTTTTTACACACAAGGGCGTTTACTCACAGAAGCTGTTGCACACAGACGCTGTTACACAAAGAAGTCTTTCCGCAGGGAGCTTTAACACACAGGCGCGTTTACACACAGAAACTTTCCCACAGCGAAGTCTTTACACAGAGAGCTTTTACACAATGAAGCTTTCACACACAGAAGCTTTTACACAGAGAAGCCTTTACCCAGAGACGCTTTTACACACAGGCGCGTTTACACACAGAAGTTTTTACACAGAGAAATCTTTACTCAGAGAAGCTTTCACACGCAGAAGCTTTGACACACAAAAGCTTTTACACAGAGAAGTCTTTACACAGAGAAGCTTTTGCACGCAGAAGTTTTTACACAGAGAAAATTTTACGCAGAGTAGTCTTTACACAGAGGCACTTTTACACGAAGTGGAAAGGTGAAATTGGCAGCAATTCTTTAGGAAAAACCCTTCGCAGGAGGGAACAAGCCTTCCCCACTTGCTCCAAGAAAAAAACCGCAGTTCCAAAATTCCATGAACATGATCAAAAAAGCATAAGGAATATATTTCTGAATCAGCACGTCCTCATTCAATAGCTTTCGAGCCCACCCTGCGATGACAATGAGGGTCAAGTAATCCGGCGGAGCCGACGATGAGCGTCAGCTCTAGAATTCGGTTAGGGGCCCAAGCCCCCGAGGCCGTGGCACTGCCGTAGGCCTTCTCTCCTCTCCGGGAGAGGGGCTGCCCTCCCTGCCGCCGACCCTCCCCCATCGGTACAAACAACTCGCACTTTACGGTGTTTTGTGGCTTTCCCATTTCTTCTTCTCTTGTGGATCAAGATGGGTCAACATGGCCCAACACACGCCCATGGCCCAACATGGCCCGCAAGCTCGGCCTACATAGCCCCAAGATGGGTCAACATAGCTCGAAGACGGGTCAACATATCCCCTACAATGGCTGGTCGAAGAGGGGCCAACATAGCCGCAAGCTGGGCCAACCTCGCCCCAAGATGCGCCTACTACAGACCTTGCGGATGGGCCGCAACAACACCAAGAACAACAACGACGACGACGAGGAGGAGGACGATGACAACAACAACAACTAACCAACCAACCAACTAACCAACCAACCAAGCAAGCAAGCAAGCAACCAAGCAAGCAAGCAAGCAAGCAACCAATCAAACAACAATAACAACCACAACTGCGACCCTACAATCACCCCTCATTTTACGGTGTCTTTTGGATTTCCCATGTGCCCATTTCTTATTTATATATAATGTATTTGCGATCCTTTACCCTCAATTCTTCTTTCTAATTTATTTATGATCCTTTTCCCTCAAGTGGGCCCCTGGCCGGCTGTCGGGCGTAAGCCCTTGAATCCGGCGATGCCTCGCCGTATCAGTTTTGTAGCCTGCAGCTAGCTTTAGTTACCGGGGGCGCGCTCCGTCCGGGGCCGGGAAAAGAGATGCTAAAATTATAAGATGCTTTTGGGGGTCGATTTTGGGCCGTTCCTGGCCATTTTTTGACAATTTTTTGCTGCGCTCGGGAAGCAAAAACATCGTAAAATACAGGGTTTTTGCCTTTTTTCGCATATTATAAAACTTACATCTTGCAACATGGTGAAAACTGCGTAAATACCAGTGTTACAAAAACACTGTAAATACCGTGATTTTTGTTTCCAGAGGCAAAAAGTATCGTAAATACTGTGGTTTTGGGCTTCCGAGGCGCAAAAAATCGGTATTTGCGGTGTTTCTTGCTCCGAAGGTTTTCAAAAATATGCGAAAACATCGCCTATTTGACGATTTTTAGGGGCCGACAAAAAATGCGAAAATAAGCTGGGTTGCAAGAACAACAACAATAGCAGCAACAACAACAACAGCAACAACAACAACAGCAACAACAAGAACAACAAGAACAACAACAACAACAAGAAGAAGAAGAAGAAGAAGAAGAAGAACAAGAACAAGAACAACAAGGACAACAAGAACAACAACAACAGCAACAACAACGACAGCAACAAGAAGCAGAAGAAGAAGAAGAAGAAGAAGCAGAAGAAGAAGAAGAAGAAGACGAAATAAAAAATGAGATAAGATGGTTACAAGCTGCGGTATGGAAAGAACATCACAATGTGCTCTGCAACTGCGCGCACGGGCAGAGCACATGAACAACAGCAACGCTCACACTACTATACATAACCCTTATCGCATCGCCGGTGTGCGAAGCTCTACACAATATATATATATATGTACACGGTCCACTGTACACATATGAATAATATTTCGTTATAGAGCAATCTCATCTCCAACATCTTTCAATCTTGCTGTGCTCCCAATAAACCGCCACCTGGAATTCGGAGAAGCAGCCCCAGAGCAGCAAAAACGCGGCTCCAAAAGCTCCCCACTTCTCCAAAGCAGCAAATGCCGATCAATAGCCTTGGATTGCTCCCACCCGAGACACCTTCGGGTCTTCAAACGGATATAGTGGGCATAAAGAATTCAAATCACCAAGGTTTTTCTCGTGGCCTGTTGTTGTGTATGCATCGTCATTTGCCAATGCCCAAAAATCATTTGCGCGTGGTTAGATCCAAGTAGTTCGCAGAGCAATGTTTTTTTGTTGTCGTTTGCTCTCTCGGTTCTAATTTAAATCGAACAAACACATTGAATGCTGTAGACAATGAGAAGGCAAATTTGACTTGAAACCAAATAGAGCTACTGGTAGACATGTAGATTCTTAGGATGCAGAGATAGAGACCCATCATAGAAGATCTCTAGTAAAGCAGGCTTGTTCATGGGTAGGTTGATTTAAGCAAAACAATCACATGATCCATTGACTGCCACGTGATATGGCAGCAAACCCCGTGCTTAATGAAGTTCTGCATCCCTTTCTTCGTATTTCTTTTGTTGCTGAATCCACCTCATTAAATGAAACATGTTTTAGCAGTCATGAAGGAGCATTAATTGCATAATCAGCGCCCTTAATGCTGTGGCACTTGTACCTGCAGAAAGAAGTTCAATATGGATGCCAAACGATGAAGTTACCCAAAACGCTGCGATCTGAAATGGGCCATACAACCATATTTGTTCACGGAAGATTTGCGGGGCAATTACGGCTTTTTGAGTTTATGGGTGTTCATTCATGGGAAGACTATGGGTTTCTTATGGGTAAAATATGGGTGTTCGATCTAAAACCTATACTACCGGGAAAAATCCCATCAGGAAGTGGTTAAAAAACTGTCCAAAAGTTCGAACTTTGGAGCCATTACAGGTACCAAAGCCATTTGTGGATCCCTTAGTATTTCCTCAATGAAAAGCCATCTGAAGCCCTTGTTGCCAGGAGGCCCGATGACTCCTGGAAGGCTCGCAATGACCGGGAAGGGCACGGAAAAACCCAAATCCAAATTCGCTTGAAACCAAGCCACCTGGGCGTTGGCTTGGCCCAGTGGATGACCAAAACATCAAAGGGTCGAAAGGAAAAACAACATAAAGCAACTGTCATTGTGGAACATGCTCACTTTGGAAACGCGTCTCCAAAAATCTATTGTTGTATAGCGCTATAGAGCTGTATTACAAAAACAACCTACAAGGAGAGAGAGAGAGATATATATATAGGACTGTAGTCTCAGCCAGACTTGACATCTGGGGTCGGAGTCTCCAAATTTATCCATGAATCTGAAAAGGGAAACAAGGGTGTTATCCTCAAACAATCTTGAGTTTAGGGACTTTGCAAGTCCCCATCGTTGACCCTTACCCATCCTTACCCAATGAGAAAAACGCAGATCTGACCTGACCTGAGCAATGCCCCAGATGACTCCGGAAGATAAGGCAGGAATCACGAGGCGTAGAGGTGTGTAGCACGATTTTCTACGGATGGCCATGATGGCCGCCTGAGCTGAGAAAGACAGCACCACTGGTCATGGATATTATGGTTCCTCTCACAGCAAAGGGTTGTGCTGATTTATGTGTTCTTACTTGATGTGCGCCCGCAAAGTCACGGTTCGCAATCGTCCAGTCTGCTGTGACATGAAAGAAGTTACTGTACCTGCTAAAAGGCAAGAGTTTGTGGTATGGCAACCTCCAAAAAGATAGAAAAAACAAGATGCAGCACACGAACCCGAATGCTCACACGTATGTTAATGGTACAGGTGTCGAAACACATGGATATGCAGTCATGCAGAACACTTTTCTGCAATAGTTTATTTGAACAGTCTTGTACATGTTTCACTTGTTACCAGTCTGCAGTGTGGAGTGGAAAGTGTGGAGTGGGGAGTGTGAAGTGTGTAAAGTGTAGTGTGTGGAGTGTGGAGTGGAAAGTGTAGAGTGTGGAGTGTGGAGTGTAAAGTAAGGAGTGTGGAGTGTAAAGTGTGGAGTGGGGAGTGTAGAGTGTGTAAAGAGAGTGTGGGGTGTGGAGTGTAGACTGTGGAGTGTGGAGTGAGGAGTGTAAAGTGTGGAGTGAGGAGTGTATAGTATAAAGTGTAAAGTGTGAAGTGTAGAGTGTAAAGTGTGGAGTGTAAAGTGTAGAGTGTAAATTGTAGAGTGTGGAGTGTAAAGTGCGGAGTGAGGAGTGTAAAATGTGAAGTGTAAAGTGTAGAGTGTGGAGTGTGGCATGTCAAGTGTAGAGTGTGGAGTGTGGAGTGGAAAGTGTAGAGTGTGGAGTGTGGAGTGGAAAGTGTAGAGTGTGGAGTGTGGAGTGTAAAGTAAGGAGTGTGGAGTGTGAAATGTGGAGTGAGGAGTGTAAAGTGTGGAGTGTAAAGTGTAGAGTGTGGAGTGTAAAGTGTGGAATGTAAAGTGTGGAGTGTGAAGTGTAAAGGGTGGAGTGAGGAGTGGAATGTGGAGTGTGGAGTGCGGAGTGTAAAGTGAGGAGTGTGGGGTGTAAAGTGTGGAGTGTGGATTGTACAGTGTGGAGTGAGGAGTGTAAAGGGTGGAGTGAGGAGTGTATAGTGTAAAGTGTAAAGTGTGGAGTGTAGAGTGTAAAGTGTGGAGTGTAAAGTGTAGAGTGTAAAGTGCAGAGTGTGGAGTGCAAAGTGTAAAGTGTAGAGTGTGGAGTGTGGAGTGTAGAGATTGGAGTGTGGAGTGTAGAGTGTGGAGTGTGGAGTGCGAAGTGTGGAGTGGAAAGTGTAGAGCGTGGAGTGTGGAGTGGAAAGTGTAGAGTGTGGAGTGTAGAGTGTAGAGTGTAAAGTGTGGAATGTAAAGTGTGGAGTGTGAAGTGTGGAATGTAAAGTGTGGAGTGCAAAGTGTGGAGTGGAAAGTGTAGAGTGTGGAGTAAGGAGTGTGGAGTGTAAAGTGCAAAGTGTGGAGTGTAAAGTGTAAAGTGTATAGTGTAAAGTGTAGAGTGTGGAGTGTGGAGTGTAGACTGTGGAGCGTGGAGTGATGAGTGTAGAGTGTGGAGTGTGGAGTGTACAGTGTAGAGTGTAAAGTGTGGAGTGTAAAGTGTGGAGTCTAAAGTGTAAAGTGTGGATGTGGAGTGTGGAGAGTAAAGTGTAGAGTGTGGAATGTGGAGTGTAAAGTTTGGAGTGTGGAGTGTAAAGTGTGGAGTGTAGACTGTCGAGTGTGGAGAGTAAAGTGTAGAGTGTGTAAAGTGTCGAGTGTAGAGTGTAAAATGTGGGATGTAAAGTGTGGAGTGTAAGGTGTAGATTGTGGAGTGTGGAGTGTACAGTGTAAAGTGTGGAGTGTAAAGTGTCCAGTGTGGAGTGTGGAGTGGAGAGTGTGGAGTGTAAAGTGTGTGGAGTGAGGAGTGTAAAGTGTGGAGTGTAAAGTGTAGAGTGTGGAGTGTAGAGTGTAAAGTGTGGAATGTAAAGTGTGGAGTGTGAAGTGTAAGGGGTGGAGTGAGGAGTGGAATGTGGAGTGGAAAGTGTGGAGTGTGGAGTGCGGAGTGTAAAGTAAGGAGTGTGGGGTGTAAAGTGTGGAGTGTGGATTGTAAAGTGTGGAGTGTGGAGTGAGGAGTGTGGAGCGTGTAAAGTGTAGAGCGTGGTGGAGTGTGGAGTGTGGAGTGTAGTTTGTGGAGTGTGGAGTGTGGGGTGTAAAGTCAGGAGTGTGGAGTCTAAAGTTTGGAGTGTGGAGTGTGCAGTGTGTAAAGTGTCAAGTGTGGAGTGTAGAGTGTGGTGTAGAGTGTGGAGCGTGGGGTGTAAAGTAAGGAGTGTGGAGTGTAAAGTGTGGAGTGTGGAGTGTGCAGTGGGTAAAGTGTAGAGTGTGGAGTGTAGAGTGCGGAGTGTGGAGTGTAAAGTGTGGAGTGTAAAGTGGGGAGTGTAGAGTGTAGAGTGTGGAGTGTAAAGTGCAGAGTGTGGAGTGTAAAGTGTAAAGTGTATAGTGTAAAGTGTAGAGTGTGGAGAGTAAAGTGTAGAGCGTGTAAAGTGTCGAGTGTGGAGTGTAGAGTGTGGAATGTAAAGTGTGGAGTGTAAAGTGTGGAGTGTAAATTGTAGAGTGTGGAGTGTGGAGTGTAAAGTAAGGAGTGTGGAGTGTAATGTGCGGAGTGTAGAGTGTGGAGTGTAAAGTGCAGAGTGTGGAGTGCAAAGTGTAAAGTGTAGAGTGTAGAGATTGGAGTGTGGAGTGTAGAGTGTGGAGTGTGGAGTGCGAAGTGTGGAGTGTAAAGTGTGGAGTGTAAAGTGTAGAGTGTGGAGTCTAAAGTGTGGAGTGTGGAGTGGAGAGGGTAGAGTGTAGAGTGTGGAGTGCAAAGTGTAGAGTGTAAAGTGTGGAGTGTAAAGTGTGGAGTGTAAAGTGTGGAGTGTAAAGTGTAGAGTGTGGAGCGTAGAGTGTAGAGTGTAAAGTGTGGAATGTAAAGTGTGGAGTGTGAAGTGTGGAATGTAAAGTGTGGAGTGCAAAGTGTGGAGTGGAAAGGGTAGAGTATGGAGTAAGGAGTGTGGAGTGTAAAGTGCAAAGTGTGGAGTGTAAAGTGTAAAGTGTATAGTGTAAAGTGTAGAGTGTGGAGTGTGGAGTGTAGACTGTGGTGCGTGGAGTGATGAGTGTAGAGTGTGGAGTGTGGAGTGTACAGTGTAGAGTGTAAAGTGTGGAGTGTAAAGTGTAGAGTGTGGAGTCTAAAGTGTGGAGTGTGGAGTGGAGAGGGTAGAGTGTAGAGTGTGGAGTGCAAAGTGTAGAGTGTAAAGTGTGGAGTGTAAAGTGTGGAGTGTAAAGTGTGGAGTGTAAAGTGTAGAGTGTGGAGCGTAGAGTGTAGAGTGTGTAAAGTGTCGAGTGTAGAGTGTAAAATGTGGAATGTAAAGTGTGGAGTGTAAGGTGTAGATTGTGGAGTGTGGAGTGTACAGTGTACAGTGTGGAGTGTAAAGTGTCCAGTGTGGAGTGTGGAGTGTAAAGTGTAGGGTGTAAAGTGTAGAGTGTGGAGTGTGGAGTCTAAAGTGTGGAGTGTGGTGGAGTGTAGAGTGTGGAGTGCAAAGTGTAGAGTGCAAAGTGTGGAGTGTAAAGTGTGGAGTGTAAAGTGAAGAGTGTGGAGTGTAGAGTGTAGAGTGTAAAGTGTGGAATGTAAAGTGTGGAGTGTGAAGTGTAAAGCTTGGAGTGTGGAGTGGAGTGTGGAGTGCGGAGTGTGGAGTGTGGAGATCGATGTTTCGTGCGAAGCTTCCGTCAATTTTCATCACATCTCACAAAATGCCACGCCTGCCACGGAATCTGCACCCTGTCGCCACTTGACGCAGCCCTGCCAATGCCATTTGCAAAAAACACGCAGCACAACACGTCTAAAGTGCTGCGCCTGCCACGCAAAATGCGATGGACACGTCCAAAGTGTTGCGCCCGCCACGAAAACTGCAACGCATCTTCTGAAAACCTCGCAAAAGTATTACGCCTGCCACACAAAATGACATTCGACACGTTACAAAACACGTCTGAATGTCACGAAGTGCCATGCCTGCCACGCGAAACGAAGCGAACGGTTGCGGATGGTTGCGGACGTAAACGCAACGTCGCGCGAACACACCCTCAGCCCCCAGACCCCCAGAGTGAAACGGGAACCCTTGCTACGCATTCGGGAATAAGTGACCACTATTCCAATCAGAGGCTACTTGTGTATCGTTTTTGGTGGTTGCTTTAAGAGTCAAGGAACGTAGAGCACTAGCGCAAAAAGCTGCCATGAGGAAGATGCCAATGAAGTGGCTAAAGACATAGTCCATAATGGACTTGCTGTGCTGGTTGCCAAAGTCCCCTTGCAACAAAGCCGTCGGAAGCCTTGGCCAAATCGGGCCAAAAAAAATGGTGACATCTTCGTTCCACGGTGGAGCCATGACCGAACTGGAACAATGGAGCCACTCATCAAATCCAAGAAGCACAAAGGTGGTGCCAAACAAAGTTCCTGCCACCACCGCCATCGTAGAGCCAATTAACAGCTGCAGGATGGTCGTGTTCTTCGGCAGTCCTGCCAATTCTGGCAACTAAGGTATGGGGCCAAACGAGGGTACAGCTCCACAATGTTTCTCATTTTCTGTGTTGGACCAACCATTTTGGGGTCCAATATGGTCCAAGCATTTCGACTCATACCAGAATGGAGAGCAAGAGATTAAATTCTTTGCAAGTTTTGACAGAACAAGCCATGGCAGTCTATCTGATGCCGCAAACACGAGCGTTCTTGTGATGGATATTGCATACAAAATATTACGAAATCCTGTTCTGTGCCAAAGGGCGCTTTCGTCGGTGTAAATTGTTTCAACTCCAACTCGTTCGAGATTTGATGTGGGAGGTTCATCCTGCTTCACAAGTCTTCACCGTTCCCATCCATTCCTATCCATTCCCATCCCAACTGCAGGTCTCGGTTCATTCTCCCCATCCTGTATGCATCCGCCCGACTTCGAGATCACTTTCGGAACAGGTGCGGTGGTTCGGGTGGACACGTTCGGACAACCATGAATGGACTCGTTCCTTGGATGCAGACCATGTGGAACAGAGTCCACACATATCAAACAGCATGTAGTTTCATGTATCAAATGTTGTCAGATATAATTTCGGATCATTAGTCATTGACAGTTTTCAATGTCCGTATATCATATGCCAATGTGATTCAATCGGCATGTGCTCAAATCCGTTTGCATCTCATATCAATGCAGCATCTGGGTTCACATTTCCATCAAAAAAATGGGATGCGCTAATCTTACCTAAACGGGTACACTAACATAGATGTGACAAACCATCTAAGTTTGCCATTTGGAAAATGATCTACAACTGGTGGGTTTTCTATGGTGGTCTCGGCCATCGCCCAGCGTCGCTGGTGCGCATGGTGCGCACCTGGCGCATTTCTTCACCCACCACCAGTTCCGTCGGATCCGATGCAGCTCGTGCGAGACACCTGGGCGGGCTCCCTGCGTTGGATGTTACACTTCGCCTTTTTCTCAGGACGTTCCAATTTAGAAGTCCTAGTCTTCAAATCGGAGCTGTTTGGATGATTCAATTGAAAAGGCCCCTCTTTTCGATGGAAAACATCCTGAGCAAGTGCTGAAATTCCGGTCAAAAGGCACCCCAAACATGGTGAAGATTGGGTTCAGACCCACCACCCCCAGCGTCCCATCGGAAAGGTATGGAATCTCAGATGGCTTTATACAAAAAAAGCTACATCCACAAGAATCCAATTGTTTCTTTCCCACCAAAATTGTGTCTCAAATTTCCATTCGAAAGCCAGACAGATGCGTTGTCGCTGCCACGCTTCGGGGCGGGTTCGGGATTCGGCTCCGAAACCACCGAGGATGCAGGCGAATTGTGTTCCCGTGCCACGTTGGCCGCAATCTCCTGGAGGTGCCATGGCGATATGGTCAACGTTTCATCGGTTGAGCCAGTCACCATATTTGCTAAGGGGGCATTTGGAATCTGGAATTAACAGTGTGGTTCTGGAACCGAACCGCGAACCGCAAAACGAACTGGAAACATAGGAACCGAACCGGAACCGTTCGTGTTCACGAACCGAACCGAACTGGTGGGGAACCGAGCCGTTTGGAGTGCGAACCGCAAACACGAACCGGTTGCAAACCGGTTGAGAACCGCAGGCATCTGCCTATGTTCCCTTCACTCTTCCACGGGCTTCTTTGCCCGAGTTCGTCCGGTGATGTTCCTTGCCACATTTGCATGTGCAAAAATCAATTTGGCGGCTGAAGAGAAAAGAGGGGAAAACGGAGAGAGGAGAGAGACAGCAAAGAGTAACGGTCTAGAGTCTAGATATTTTAGGCTTAGGCTCCCAAATCAAGGCATGGAATTGTTTCCATGTCGGGGTCTTTCAATTTTAAGGTTCATGTGCAGCTTGGCAAACTGCACACCCCGAGAGAGCACCGTTTGCTTTTTCCACGCCCTGGGAAAAGCAAATCCGCCCTGGAAAAAGCAAATCCGCCTACACGGGGATTTGCTTCTTTAGAGCCGTTAAAAAAGCAAAAACATCAACGGGGTTTGCCGCCAACGCCGGGGGAGCAAAATGTCTAGGTAGCATTTTCGACATTGCTCTTACAAACTCTCAAACCTACTATCCTTTCCAATCCTCCTGAACCGCAAGCTCGTCTCCAACATCCTCAAGCGAACTCACTGAAGTCACAAACCGTCTGTGAAACGGAAACGAAACGAAACGGAAAATATGTCAAATAAGTGCGAAACGAAACGAAACGAAACGATCCGATCATCTCTGCGAACCGAACCGAACCGTAGGCTCCTACGAAACGAAACGCCAAACATCCAGTTCCTGGAAAACGAAAACGAAACGAAACGAATAGTATTGGTTTATATACCACATTACAGTTGATGTTGATGCATCTCTTGCCAGTGGCCTTGGTTCTGGATCTTCAACCTCACACTGTCGCAGTCTTCCCTGGGCTCCTTTTTCGACGGAGACAGCTCTTTATCTGGGCTGTTCAACACCGAGGACAAAGAGAAGAAGACTAGAGACACAGATGCCAGCACAAGGCCCACACAGTTCAGCAGCGGATGTTGAATGACTTCCTTGTGCACGCCGAAGAGGCCAAAGTGCCCAATGAACCAACCCACCAACATGTTGCTTAAATCCCACATCGTCAGCCCAAGGCCCAGACCTGAACGGAGTCATGCGGAGTCCCAAAGGTCCAAAGTTGGTGTGTCAAAAACTGGCAGCACACTCTGGGGGCTAAGTTGTGAGATCATCTTCAATTCATAGTCCTATAATGCCCCAATACTCCGGCCAGAACGAGACTAACAAGATTTTCAACTCTCGGCATCTCTGATCTGGGTGTGCCTGGAAATGGGACATTGTACCCCCAGTTTTTGGGAAAAAGGGTTCAGCCCAAGGCACCAATGATCTGGATGATGTATGGGCACATGAGGTTGCCTGGGCTGCGTGCTTTTTGCGCAACCAGCACACTACTACCACTACTACCAGCCAACCGTTGCAATAAAACACCGGCCGAAACCATTGCAAAAAAATAACGGGGAACTTGCAAACATCACCATGGTGAAAAACACCGGGGAATTGTTGTAAAAAACGCCGGGGAACCGTCGCAATAAAAAACAGCAGCAGTTCAGATCGGGGAAACACCAACCTGTCAGTCCTAGTTGCCCAGCATCCACATGGCTCCTCCCAACGCCGCCAACGGCTCAAACTTGGGGATGGTGAGGCCATCTGCACCTGGAGATTAAAAAAAACCCACCTCTCAAGTTGATCGTGCTTTATCACCCCCTACCCGAGACAATGTTGACTCGGTGGGGATCCCAAAGTCCCATGGTTTTGGCCCATTTTGGCTCGTGGGGATGTTGGGGATGTTGGGGATAGTCAATTCTAAAAATCTGTGGGCCAAGAGGCTGGTCAAGAGCATTCCTTGCAGCAAACCCACTCCGAGAATGCCTAAGGACATGGCTGCACAGAAGAAAATACCATCACCTGTGTCGTACTTCTTCACGGGCAAGTAGTTCAATGCGAATCCGACAGCAGCTACTAGACAGCATGCATTGCCACGGACCAATCTTGTGGTTTCATCAGCATCCATGGCGGTTTCATGAACATCCATGGCGGCTTGGCTGGTCGGATTGTTCTGGGCTAATTCACTTGAGAAAGAAATCAAACTGGGCGAACAAAATCACGCACTGCCTCACTGATGTGTAGTAAGCCACACTTCTTTGGTGGATTTACGGGTTCCCTGCTACCGAGACGTTCCCAAACCATATTCAGCCCATTTTATCATAAATCAGGTTTGCTCTCGAATTCTCCCTTTCCCGATCGAAAAACATTGAAGTGGACTGAAGACAATGGCAAGTAAAGCATAAAATGCTGACAGAAATGGCGGTGTCCAGGTGATGATCACTTGATGTTGAACAATGGACCCATCCCAAACACCTCGCCAGAATTTCCTGTCGCTCCTCCACGTTTCCCCCTACCCCAATTGTTGTGGTGTCACATACATAGCAACCACAAATCCTCCACCCGTCCACCAAAACATGTAAGTTCCAAACTTAAACACATACCAACACATAGAATTACATATGTATATACATCATTTTGCATATTCAATAAAAATCCATCCCCATCCAATAAACCCCGCCTTCAACCAGCTCTTCTTGGGATCCTCCCTCGCGTTCACTACGGGGGGGCTAGCAAACGCTCCGGGAGGGTTAGCATACACTCGGGGAGGGTTAGCATACACTTGGGAAGAGGTAGCATACACTCAGGAAGGGTTAGCATACTCTTGGGAAGGGTTAGCGTTACACTTGGGAAGGGTTAGCATACACTCGGGAAGGGTTAGCACGTGTTAGCATGCACTCGGGGAGGGTTAGCATGCACTCGGGCCAACCCTTCCCGAGTGCTTGGGTTGGCCCGAGTGCATGCTAACCCTTCCCCAGTGTATGCTAACCCTCCCGGAGTGTATGCTAACCCTTCCCAAGTGTATGCTAACCCTGCCTGAATGTATGCTTACCCTCCCGGAGTGCATGCTAACCCTTCCCGAGTGCATGCTAACCCTCCCCGAGTGTATGCTAACATGTGCTAACCCTTCCCAAGTGTATGCTAACGCTTCCTGACTGTATGCTAACCCTCCCGGAGTGCATGCTAACCCTCCCCGAGTGTATGCCACCCCTTCCCGATGTGTAGGATAACCTTCCCAAGTGTATGCTAACCCTTCCCGAGTGTGTGCCAACCCTGCCGGAGTGTATGCTAACCCTTCCCAAGTGTAGCTAACCCTGCCTGAATGTATGCTAACTCTTCCCAAGTGTATGCTAACCCTGCCTGAGTGTATGCTAACCCTTCCCGAGTGTATGCTAACCCTCCCGGAGTGTATGCTTACCCTTCCCGAGTGTATGCTAACCGTTCCGGAGTGTATGCTAGCCCTTCCCGAGTGTATGCGAACCCTGCCTGAGTGTATGCTAACCCTCCTGGAGTGTATGGTTACATGCTAACCCTTCCCAAGTGTATCTAATCCTGCCTGAATGTATGCTAACTCTTCCAAGTGTATGCTATAACCCTTCCTGAGTGTATGCTAACCCTTCCCGAGTGTATGCTAACCCTCCCGGAGTGTATGCTAACCCTTTCCGAGTGTATGCTAACCGTCCCGGAGTGTATGCTAACCCTTCCCGCGTGTATGCTAACCCTACCTGAATGTATGTTAACTCTCCTGGAGTCTATATGCTAACCCTTCGCAAATGTATGCTAACCTTCCCGGAGTGTATGCTAACCCTTCCCAAGTGTATGCTAACCCTCCTGGAGTGTATGCCAACCCTCGCGAAGTGTATGTCTACTCTCCCGGACAGATGCTACCCCTTCCCGGAGTGTATGCTAACCCTCCCGACGTGTAGAATAACCTTCCCAAGAGTATGCTAACTCTGCCTGAATGTATGCTAACCTTCCGGCGGTGTATGCTAACCCTTCCCAAGCATACAGCTTACCCTCCCGGAGTGCATGCTAACCCTTCCTGAATGTATGCTAACCCTCCCGGAGTGCATGCTGTATGCTAACCCTTCCCGAGTGTATGCTAATCCTCCCGGAGTGTATGCCAACCCTTCCTGAGCGCATGCTAACCCTCCCGAAATGTATGCTAACCCTTCACAAGTGTATGCCAACCCTGCCTGAATGTATGCTTACCCTCCCGAAGTGTATGCTAACCCTCTCGGAGTGTATGCTACCTCTTCCCGAGTGTATGCTAACCCTCCCGACGTGTAGAATAGCCTTCCCAAGAGTATGCTAACTCTGCCTGAATGTATATGATAACCTTCCGGGGGTGTATGCTAACCCTTCCCAAGCATACAGCTTACCCTCCCGGAGTGCATACTAACCCTTCCTGAATGTATGCTAACCCTCCCGGAGTATATGCTGTATGCTAACCCTTCCCGAGTGTATGCTAATCCTCCCGGAGTGTATGCTAACACCCTTCCCGAGTGTGTGCCAACCCTCCCGGAGTGTATGCTAACCCTCCCAAGTGTAGCTAACCCTACCTGAATGTATGCTAACCCTCCCGGAGTGTATGCTAACCTGTATGCTAATCCCTGGAGTGTTTGCTAACGTTTCCTGAGTGTATGCTAACCTGATTGTATGCTTACCCTCCCGGAGTGTATTCTAACCCTCCCGGAGTGTATGCTAACCTTTCCCAAGTGTATGCTAACCCTGCCTGAATGTATGCTAATCCTCGCGGAATGTATGCTAACCCTGCCTGAATGTATGCTAACCCGGTAAGCATACATTCAGGCACAGTTACCATACACGGAGGAAGGGTTAGCATACACTCCGGGCGTTAGCATACACTCAGGAAGGGTTAGCATACACTTGGGAACGGTTGGCATACACTCCGGGAAGGTTAGCATACACTCAGGAAGGGTCAGCATACACTCCGGGAGGGTTAGCATACACTCCGGGAGGGTTGGCATACACTCGGGAAGGGTCAGCATACACTCCGGGAGCGTAAGCATACATTCAGGCAGGGTTAGCAGACACGGGAAGGGTAAGCATATGTTAGCATACATTCCGGGAGCGTTAGCAGCATGCACTCGGGAATGGGTTTGCATGCACTCCGGGAGTAGCATGCGCTTGGGAAGGTTTAGCATACACTCGGGAAGGGCTAGCATACACTCGGAAAGGGTTAGCATACACTCCGGGAAGGTTAGCATACACTCCGGGAAGGTTAGCATACACTCGGGAAGGGTTCGCATACACTCGGGAAGGGCTAGCATACACTTGGGAAGGGTTAGCATACACTCGGGAAGGGTTAGCATACACTCCGGGAGGGTTAACATACACTCGGGAAGGGTTCGCATACACTCGGGAAGGGCTAGCATACACTTGGGAAGGGTTAGCATACACTCGGGAAGGGCTAGCATACACTCGGGAAGGGCTAGCATACACTCGGGAAGGGTTAGCATACACTCCGGGAAGGTTAGCATACACTCGGGAAGGGTTAGAATACACTCCGGGAGGGTTAGCATACACTCCGGGAAGGTTCGCATACACTCGGGAAGGGTTAGCATACACTCGGGAAGAGCTAGCATACACTCGGGAAGGGTTAGCATACACTCCGGGAAGGTTAGCATACACTCCGGGAAGGTTAGCGTACCCTCGGGAAGGGTTCGCATACACTCGGGAAGGGCTAGCATACACTTGGGAAGGGTTAGCATACACTCGGGAAGGGTTAGCATACCCTCGGGAAGGGTTAGCATACATATCGGGAAGGTTAGCATACACTCCGGGAAGGCTAGCATACACTCGGGAAGGGTTAGCATACCCTCGGGAAGGGTTAGCATACACTCCGGGAAGGTTAGCATACACTCCGGGAAGGTTAGCATACACTCGGGAAGGGTTCGCATACACTCGGGAAGGGCTAGCATCCGGAAGGGTTAGCATACACTCGGGAAGGGTTAGCATACCCTCGGGAAGGTTAGCATACACTGCCGGAGGGTTAGCATACATTCAGGCCGTGCAGAACCCGATGCACCTCAATGAGCAAGAAAAGAGCTGCGTGCTGAGAAATTGGCCAAGAAACAAAAGAAATTGGACATTTTTGGCACTTTTACCTGTCTAGGACACTTTCATGCTACTGTCGCAAACATATCCCTGTGCTTGTCATGGTTCTACATGTTCTGTGAATGTTCTCAATATCTTGTCAAGGTTCCTGAAATCATTCCATGGTTATACAGAACCTTCGAAGCCAAACACATCTTCTATAAAACAATGACACCATCTGGTTCAAACATGTCTTGCTGATCAAAAGGTGACCTAGAAAAAGACGTGTTCACCCTGAAAAGACAAGCGGTTTGACCTTGTCAAATTCGTTTGTGAAAATTAACTCGCCAGCTCAGAGTATGTACCGATCTCTCTGGGCGAAGTGATGATTTTTGGAGAATGGAATCGGTACATGCCAATATGATCCAATATGGGCATTGTATCATATGTACCCCTATCCATCCCTTTCCCATATCCCACATGCGCATGCCTGCTGCCAGCCGACCAA